GTATCACAATTATATGATGAAAATTTGTTAAATCGCATTTATAAAGGTGTCCGGAAACTTTTGTCCACCCTCTGTAGATCGACTTATAATATTATATTTTTATATTAAAAATTTTGCAATTTAATTTTTTCGAAAATTCGTTCATATGAACGATGTAGAATCGTTCAAAAGAAAAATAATAAATTGATTCAATATAAAGGAGATCAATATAAAGGAAATCACAAACAATGTTATTTAGTTATAAATTTCTATTGTATTACTTGGAATGTTGGCTGGTTTTGAATTCGCTAGCTCGAGCCGGTTTTAATTCATTCAATTGGTTTTTAAAGTTGCATGTATTATTTTAAGGGCAAGGAGAAATTTGTAAAACAAAAAAAAAAAAATAGTATATTAATTTTTACATATATGAAAAACCTCAAATGATATTATTACGTTATAATTTAAATATCAGGCAAATTATTACTGCAATGCGCAGCAATTTAGCTATAAAAATTAACTTCGAATCCGCAGTATTTTTCGCTAAATTAGGGTAGTCGTTCGAAATAATAAATAAAATTCATTTATATTTGCAGTGAAATTGGAAAAATACAGATAGTGTTCCCACATCTACATGGCTTAGTTAAATTATTTATATCATATGTTTTCCTATTTAAATTACATTATGATTATTATGTTCGTAACTCGATTTTAATATTCCAATACTTTCAAGAACCTCATAACAATTTTTTAATATTTTGGAAATATCCTTTCAAAAAAGTAGGCTCGTATAATACACAATCAGACCCGATTTTTTTTTAATTCTGATTACAAACAATTTAATTCTCAGGATGATAGATTTATTGTTCCTCCCCTATATAAAAAAATAAAATATCACGTGATATTAAATTCGTAATTGAAGACAATAAAATGATACTTTTGTAAATAGAAACCATCTTGATAACTCACCTTCTTAAATTGCAATACATCGCACCCTTAGAGACTGGAGTAAACTTCGTTTCATACCTTCAAGACTGAACTGCCTCTTTTGGTAATTCTGGTAGTGTTAATTTTAAACTATTATTAATTTGTACTGGACGCCTGTTCAATAAAGATCAGATACGCATCCCCATCCGCGCAAACAGTTTCGTGTAGGTACGTGATTAAATGCAATACATTTTCCAATTTTGCCTCCACATTATTTTCTTGAAAATTGAATGATATTATCTCATCTTCATAAGCACAGACGAGACTAAATTTTTCTTGATTGTAAATTGGCTGTAAACTCCCCAAACGAACTTTTGTATCATTCACCAGGCCAAAATGCAATCTAGTTTCATTTACTTCCATTTCCGTTGGATAATGCATCTGAGAAAGTATACGATTAAATTCGTATGCCAATTCTGCTACAAAACTACTTCATCCTTGTGGATTTCAAAGCCGGCTTGTTCAAATTCCACAATGAAAAATGCGAATTGTAAATCATTATTATTTACAATTATTGAGGCGAAATCTGATCTTGCTGAGCCTTGTCCAGCACGACCTGTGTAATTCCCAATTTTAAATGATGAAGCTTGAACGCTGTAGAAAAATTCCGAATCACAGTTCAGATTTAATGTGATTTTGGATGGATCGTTACCAAGATCGCGCGATGGTGTAGCTCTGTACGAAATAACGGTTGTTAAAATGTCTATAATAAGGCAGTGATGGCAAATGACCCAAATGACCTCAAATGACTCAAATGACTGGTCATGTGTCATTTGGGTCATTTCAACATTAAATGACAAATGACATTAGTCATTTGCCTAAACTAATCAATATCTACCCCCTTAGGACCGGTGCATTTAGAGAAGTGTGTATAATAGACAATGTAATATTTTATAAGTTT